CTTTCTTCCTTTCATAATGGTTACTTTGTAAGAGGTAGCAGCAGCCCCATACTAGACAGAAGTTCTCCTTTCCAGTTCAAGGCCAGGGGAACCAGCCAGTGTCTTTGCCCACAACCTCTTGGACAGTCATGGTAACACCAAACTGTGTGTCCAGACCTCTTCGTTGTCTACAGCTTGACATTAAATTATTTTTTTCCAGATTTATCCAGTGCTTTCTCATATAATATGCTTTCAAAACTTCCCTGCTGACAATCAGTCATAGTAGGATGTGTGTTTCACTACAAAATCCATAGTTTTTCTTCTAACCCCCCACCAGGACTGTCCTTTCCCCTAATTTTTTCAAGTAACTGCAAAATCAATCCCTCCTTCACCAGAATTAAATAACTCATCTTCAAACCTTCACACTGGAAGGTCTCGTGAGCTTCCTCTTCATGTAGCGCTACCAAGTTTTTGATTAAAACAATGTTTTATTGCTATAGGATGATGCTTCTGGGAATCTCTCTCTCTCTCTCTCTCTCTCTCTCTCTCTCTCTCCCTCTCCCCCCCCATAACAAACTACATGAACATCCTACAAAACTGAGAAGAAAACACATTGCATTTAGCACCAGCCCCATTTATGGCTCTCCAGTCTGGAATATAAAACAAAGTCATGTCAGTGGAGGGGCCCATATGGTACCAAGTACAACTTTTAGATTCTAGATTTACTAGTTTGCTCTCCTTAGAATTGCCTTTGAACTGAGAGCTGCTTGGCTATGAGTCCACACAGCATAACTGATGCCTTGAGAGTGAAACTTATGTATGATTTCGCTAAAAGAACTTCTAGCTTCTGTTTTTTTGTTTTATTTTTTTTAAACTGAAAGCAAACTTCTTTATTGTACACAGTACAGAATAAACACAGCTTGGCAAGGATGCATATGGTCCTGCACGGGGAAAGTATTTCAACCAGCCTCTGCTTTAATTTTGGTGTCCCAAGAGAAATTGTCATCAATGTATGATGAGTATATTCTTAAAATAAGCTTAAGTTCTTTCATTAATATAAAAGTGACATCATAATTCAACAACCATTTAAAAATACCATCTGTTGGAATGGCTAAAATATGTTAAAGTATTAAGGATTTGTGGCATGATAAAGGAGCACTGGGCTCTGGAGAGCTATTGCTGAAGGTAACAGAATTTATAACTGACTGGAATTTACAA